GCTTACGTCAAACCCATCCTGCCAAACACCTAAAGTGTAAGCAGCTGAGGATTAACTGAAGTTACTGTCAGGGCTAACCCTACAATGACTCCACATGAACTCACAACACGACTCACTGCCTGACATAGTGTGGGAAATGTTTCACATACCAGAAGCACATTGCTGGTTCATTTACCATTTGGATATGGCTATTTTGCTTGAATTTAAAAAACCTCACTCGCATTTGGCTGCATTCACCGCAGTTTTTTGGAGTAATATGTAAACGTGTATTGATGGGCATGAAATTTTATAATAATTTTAGTATGTCTGGTATTCGCGCCATGCCAAAAGTCCAAGGTTATCATGAAGGTGATGTTTCACATTCTGCAATAGTTCCACGGGAGGAGTGATGTTGCTATGTGTAATGTACATTTTTTAATTTTTGGGAAATTTTTGGAAAATGGTCAATTTAGACCATGACCTTGGCACACAATGGCCTACTCATTTCGAATGACATTAGCGGATCTTTAACATCCACTGTGAAGCCAACAGCGCATTTTTAGGGTTAATACACCGCAAGTAATAACTGATAACCGCAGTATTGTATTGTCTCTTTAGAGGGACCTGCATACATGTGCAATGAATGGGTTTAAAAAAAAAAAACTAATTTCTTTATAACTGCTTTTTGTGTTTAGTTTGTTGCCCTTTTCCCCATACCTCCAATGAGCACGGCTGGCTATGTACGGAGCAAAAGAAGTTCCACATACATACATGCAAATGTTAAAGCTTGCCATACCATTGCTCTCTTGAACATAGTTTGACAAACTGAATTTCCCCACTATATTTTGAGTGTTGGTTTATGAAATCATGACAATAAATGGGATAAAAAGATATGTATAAGTACCCATAGACTAGCTCAGAGGTAGCCAACCTGTAACAGACCAAGAGCCAAAAATACCCGTGAGTTCTGCAAAGAGCAAAATGTATATATATGTGTATATATTAATTTGAAGCTTTCACGACTGCAGGAATCCATACTCTTTGGTTTTTCCGGTAAAGTCACGTACATGTATAAGTGTGTATATATACACAGTTTTCGGCACAGCATGGGAAACATTCATTATTCTTTGCTCCTGTGATAGTATGTTCTAGATTATGCCCCTTCATGTGGCTCAGAAGACGCCGGTGGGCCACTGCTGGACTAGCCTATTATCAAATCACTTGGAATGTGCCTAAACATATCAGATTTTTAGAAGTGGAATAGGGTTGTGCAGTACATTGTCAACATGACTGTACAAATATACATATATCCACATATATGTTAACTAGCTTTTTTGCCCGAGTGACGTCACCCCCTCATGGTTATTGTGGAGGGGTGCAGCATGTGGAGTGACGTTTCCCGCGCATGACTATTAATGAGGGGAGGGGTGCGGCATGTGGAGTATAAATTTCCATGCAGTGATGTCATGCACGGATGTAGCGATGTGCTGCTTATATTTATTTTTTACCGTCACTTTCTGTTAAGTAACGTCATATTTGAAGCGACTTTGTGTAATAAATTATTTAATTCAGCTCGACCTTCCTCTGCATTAGTGTAAAAATCCACCCACTCATGAATATTAATGAGGCGGGGGTGGGCCTTATGTGGAGTGACGTCACGTGCGGGACACATTCTTGGCTAATTATAGTAGTATATTATTCACTGCCAACACTGTTACAGATATTGCACTCCACTGACAAATGACAATTATTTCCCACCTCAGCAGATGATTGCACTGAAGTTTATGTAACCGAGGATTGATCTGAAATCAACATGGTAAAATGTCAGCACCGTCAGACAAAGGTTCCAAACCACGTAATTCTACTCTGAATAAGACCTTTGTTAAGTTATGCAACATTTAATTTTACTGCCAAGAAACTCTGATAACAAAGCTTAAGGAGGCACAATAATCTCTATATGCTGGCGCACTGGTAGGCCAATTAAAATAATTTCATTGGTCTCAAGTATGCAGCTCGGCCTGCACTTTATTGGCTATGTATTACATTTGGCCAGCTTAACCATCACACAGCAGACTGTCTTAGATTTACGTTGACAATGGAGTTGTCTTTGGTACAACTCCTAAATGATCCATTGAAAAATCACGAAACCATCACAAAATATAAACCAAAACTAGGGCAAATGAACGCATTGGAAGCATATGCTACTGATAATTATTTAACAGTGGCGCCCCACTATGAAGTGGCATGCTAACTGAACTTCGTAGAAAAGGTTAACATTAGTACCCATTCAATGTTTCTTTACTAGTTACAATACAAGTTGATTTATGTATTTTTTATACTTGTATATAAGCCACCATTTAGATGAAGGCCTCCCCATTCCTTTTTGGCATGGGGTTTGTTTGACCATACCTCACTATGCTGGTCAGTACAGGTTCGTGATGGTGGTGAACCCAGCACTCATTCAGATATCACTCACGGGTTACATGAGCTGTGGCTGGAAATTCAACGCAGGTGACTGGGTTCTTAGTACTGCACATACATAGAATGCAGCATGTACAATTTTACTGGCCATGGATTCATAACCTTCATGTATAAATTAAATGTTTAATCAATTACCGTTTACAACAAAAGCAAACACTGTTCACTTTACATCATTAGACCTCCTTTGCCAGTACCAAAATGTAATAATAGGGTTTTTCCCCTTTTTTTCTGGCAACAAAACTGAAACCTTTTTTTACAAGGATTCATGTCCGCATTAACCACAATACCTGCAGTCAAAATGCAAACAAAATTATAGAAAATATGGGATCTAGTGTCTGATGAGTCATATTCGGGGTTGTCACCATTTATGCATGAATTGTTGTACTTCATAGTCGCATATTTTGACAAATACATGTTTGGAGCAACTGTGTGAATCCAGGGTGCGTCATCTGATCGAGCACCAATTGGGTCGAGGCTCAAAAGAAAGCCGTCAATTGGTGTGGACCAATCAGTTTCAAGGACAATGCATATATTATCATAGTATGTTTATTGTTTGCATTTTGACTGCAGGTATTGTGGTTAATGCAGACATGAATCCTTGTAAAAAGGTTTCAGTTTTGTTGCCAGAAAAAAGAGGAAAAACCCTATTATTGCTGTTCACTTTTAAAACTCTGCCGAAAAAAAATTATCTTTATTTTATAGCCATTTCATAAAACACTGCTATATGCAAGCAAATGTTAGCACCCTGGATTCACACAGTTGCTCCAAACATGTATTTGTCAAAATATGCCACTACGAAGTACAACAATTCATGCATAAATGGTGACAACCCCAAATATGACTCATAAGACACTAGATCCCATATTTTCTATAATTCCAGACATGATCTAAATTAATAGATATATGTTATACATTACCCCTGTGAAGGGATCCTGCAATGGCGTAATGGTTAGCACACTGAACTTGGAATTAAGAGGTCACCGGTACACTCCTGAAATGTTAGTTGAAATGACGAACAAGTTTCTCGAGTCTGCCTACCTCGATCCATCCAATAGTATAAATAGGTGCACCACAATGAGTCAATTGGCAAGTCGTCTTGCGGTGGGATAAATTGTGGGTACGCCCACCTCTCCCAAGACATCTGGCCAGTACAGAAAAGTAGGCCAAATATCCTCTTGAGGGGCTCTTTCGAGGCCCTTCCACCACCAGTGGCATGAGCAAGTAATTGCGAGGCTGCTCTTTACTATTTATGCAACAACATGTAATTTAGTTTTCCTCTTAATTTTATGCAGATAAGCCTTTGAAATCCTATCAGTGGCTGCTCATATTTCTCCAAGTAATTTTGTAAATGATGAGAAACATAAAAAATGTATTTATTGTGCATATAATGGCACATTTATTGTTTAAAAAGCTGGCATTCATTTCCTTGCATCTCTAGGTATTTTATTGAAATCCCATCATCCCATGGTGGTCCGTGTAACATTAAAATAACATGCGCTCTTGTTTATTAAAACAACAATAATTAAAACCATATGCCTCCAGAGCAGGGCGCTCTCGTTTTCATTTCTATTTTGATAAAATAGAAGTGTATTTTTTTAACATGAGTCTTGGCATCGTGTCTAACTGTATCAAACAGCATGCACACCATTTACTTATAAAAAAACGATTTGGCCGTAATTAAAATGCACATGGGATTAACAGTTTGGACAAAAATAAATGACGACAAAATTCTGCAATTTATAGTCAAGCATTTTAAATAGTAAAAAAAATTATACTTCTCAAACAATACACTTCACTTTGCATTGCACAGATTCAAATTAAAAATGTAAAGCACCCTTTGAACCAGTTACCAATAAAAGGGCATTTTTTTGTTAAAAAAAGATAAAGGATCCACTGTATGAAACGGACAACAATTTGAAGTGTCCCCATCTCACATGGCTTCCTAGGTTAACAGACCCCTCATTTCCTCCAGCCATTAGGAAGCGGCATGAGGTCAGATGCGTGTGATCTAACCATGCAAAAACTCTAAGAGGGCTACTGGTCCCCAGGGTTCGGCCAAGGGGTACAGTTTACCCACACATGTGACTAACTCACCGTGGGGTGATTCAAACCACGAGTGACTCGGTGGAAGAAAATCAGCTGTTTTAATGACGACGGGGATTTGGTGGGGATACAAATTAAATTATATAGAAGCGAGTGCAGGCACGGATATTAAATATGACAATATTTTTTGTAGAAGCGTGTGACAACTGGGACTCAAAAGCCCTTCGTTTTATAAAGGCAGTAATACATTAATATTTCAATTTACTAGCCTAACCATTACATATAGTCTATGTAGCCTATATTACCCAGAGTTGTGTTGCTTTAGGGAATATATTGAACAATTGTAATGTGAATTATACAACGTAAAGAGACGTTAATATACGTGTAATTTAAAAAATGATTCTGTGTATTAATGCAAATTAAACAAGTGTGTGATACATTGAAATGCATGTTAAACGTGTGATATTGTAAAAAACGATTTGAAATACTGTACTCACGGTAACATTATTCCGTTGCACTGTTTTAATGAGGCACAGATGGAGACTCCGAGATTCACTCCCTTTTCCCTTTCCAGTCGACTGCTGAGAATTCTGTTCGGTATAAAGGAAGAGGGGGGGGGGGACATACGGATGTGCTTGAGGAACAACGCACACAAGAATGGCACTACTCATGGACAGGGGGAGTATAACAAGGGTCTATCGGTAGCCTGCAGGCAGTTTCTATTGGTGGACACACCTACGTAAGAGGTGGGTATGTGTATTAATTTCTTTAGTGCATAGTGGTTGACAACAAACACTTCCGTATCTGATTTGACGATTCTATTAATTTAAAACTATTTTTTTGGGAAAGTTACGCAAACATATGACAAATAAATAATTGACCTTTGTCCATCTACTTTTTAGTTCCACATGATATGCATTTCAAAATGTATTCATAGGCATGTAATTATTCATGGATTGCATTCTATTAATAATTCCAATCCAATAGTAAGTAAGAATAAATTATAAAACATGATTTTGAATTATATTAATTTACATCTGTGTGTTAATCCACTGCTGGATGATAGCCATCTCACATTTTTGGCCATGAGTCTTGTTTAACCGTATACTTCACGCTGGTTCAGATGTCACTCGGACATCAATTGGCCATGGCTGGGAATCAAAACTCGGTTTGCCAGGCTTATAGCGCAGTACACAAACACAATAATTGCATCATGATAATGCTATAAAAAGTATTTTTAAAACATTAATATATCGGTGACAGTTATATTGGTAAGCATATGGTGCTAATTAACATTGTATTCTTGGTTCTTTCGGTAATGTCACGTATAAGGGAAACAATAAAATAATAAAAATATAAAACAATAAAATTATCACGACGTTTCAACGGCAACACAAGCAATCATCATCAGGTGTGAAAATTTTCTTGCTGTGGAAAGTCGTGAGAATTGTATTGTTTTATATTTTTATTATTTTATTGTTTCCCTTCTACGTGACTTTACCGAAAGAACCAAGAATATGAATCCCTGCAGTCACGAAAGCTTTAAATAAAAATCTAATAAACACTGTTAAGTACAGTACACACAATGCTCTAATAATAAATAAACATACATCTTCATTTAGGGGCTCTTTCTCGAATGGGAAAGCAAATTAAGAGCACACATTGTATGGAGATCAAAGCGTTTTGAACGGCCTCAAATGCAAACCTCACAACAATATATACGGTACTTTATAAACACACATCGCATTTCAACATAAGACAATAATTTGATGAATTAACATTGCGTATATGTTGCGCACTACACCCTGGTCGCATTTGTACAAATGCCGTGAAATATCAACACCTAATCAATCCGCGAGTCATTACATTCGCCATCAATTTTTACGAAGTACATTTGCAGTCATAAACGTTTAGCTTTGATAAGTGCATAAAATGCAGAAGTAACACGTACAGTTAGTTTCCTGTAGCTCACATCCGTTACTCCGTTACTTTACTTCTTGTACCAATGTCCGCTGCTTGCATCTTTGTGTACATTACACATCCATGTGACGAAGAGCAGTTCTTATAAGCTCACTGATCGTTACGTATACGTTTACAGTGTGGGGACACACGAAGAAAAAATTACGTTTCATTGGTGTGCTAAACCTTTTTATTGGCCTGGAGTAAAAGGGCGTTAACGTGGAATAACGGAATTTCTATAGCAACGTTCCATTGCTCTATAGAACTGCTGGAATATGAAACCTGGAAAATTTGGCTTGAAAGTAAATGTCATCCTGGTTGGTTGATTATGTAACAAAACACACTTCTTCGGCGTGTTTTCTTCGCATATTGTAATATCGAGCAGCACTGATTCATTCAATATTGAATGCAGATATGTATTCCCTTCCCAACACTACTTATATATGGTATTTGTGAATGAACACACTAGCAAGTATACGCTTACATGAACGTGTAACAGAGAACCCATCTGTTTTGAAGTACCTATGATAACATGTAGCAAATGGTCACTGATATATAAAATTCAATTATACAGCCCTTTCAATTCATTCAAATACACTTATGGAGTGTCCTTTCTCTCTCGCTCCACTGACTATTCAACGCACGTACACCTTGCCAAGCAGAAACACTTACAATAACATGGCGCCATTCCCCATGGCAGACACCGTCTTTTGGAATTTAAGAAATAAAATTTCTATGCCCGAGGCTTGGTAAAACAATAACACAGGTGGCTAGCAGGTGAATACACAAGGGTCTACTCTTCATGGATTTAATGCACAAAGCCTCATTTGCATGATATAACAAACAAATGCGCAGATAACCAACTCTTACAATGTGTGAACTATATACATGCTGCACATGTTATAAAAATGTTGTTTATTCAAACTACATTATATGACACAAGAGTAAATTTTGTGCATCAAAAAAAAACCACCAAAGACATATATGAGCCACTCTGGTTATATGGCACTGATTAGGAACAGTTTATTTAAAGAAGCTGTTTAACTCACAAAACAATTATGAACAAGCAGTATTTCAGTTTATCTACGTTACTGCCTATAATGAGACTGAGCTAATTTAATTCAGGACCACTTTCTTACTTAAAAGATCAGCAAAGTGTTACTCATTTACCAACACCACCCTTGGTAAGATGGGCTTCTGCTCATTAAAATCGCCACTTCAGAAAATCTGATGGCTTTTTGAAGTCCAATGACAGCTCAGTGACCCCAAATTTATGTTGGTGCTACCAACACCATATCCTGATGTTGTACCCAAAGACTCTATGTGTACAGATGTATAACTCCAATTCACACTGATAACTTTCGCAAAGCACACTCCAAGTAACACAATAAGTGGGAACTATTAAAATTGTTATAAACTTCATCAAATATTGTAAATGAATCTGTATATATTACTAGTTTGGTTTAGAATAGCGTTTCTTGCCATACTGGTCGTGAACTCAGTTTGGCTCGATGAGCCGTATGTAGTTGTTTATGTTGAAACCTAAGCGTGTGTTCTTGGCCCTCAAATGAAGGTGTCTTGCCCCAGTGTTCTTCCTTGTGTTTTATTAAGACATCTAAAACATTGTAAACCCCCTGGAAGGGCCTGAATATACATAATAGGCTATGTTTCCAGTGTCCCCGAGGTTATTTTCCGATAGAATCGGAAAATCCTGCATAACTGAGAGGGTTGAGTCTTTTTATGAAACAGATCAGTTAAACCGAGAATAGAGGACTTGGTGATGGCCAACATGCAACACCAAGCAGTTACCTTTACGAATACAGGTAACATTACATGTGTACGTAGCTTCCATTTTCTGCACTGCGATAACATAGCATACTGCTAGAGATACATTTAGTGGGTCTAAGAGAAGCAAATAGATTCAGAGTTTGTTTACTTTATTGCCCGTGTATAAAATGGTTTGTAGCAGCGACTTCTGTTCTGCTACTTCCAAAGCAAGTGCTTTGTTGAGGCACGTGAATCATCTGCCCAAAACAAAAACACCTTTACAAATAATTCACCCAGTTCCAACCAAAGGAAAATTAACTATGAAGGTGGCATCATATCTCCCAATCGACGTGCCATTTATCATGTTTGTAAGAGGTGTCAATATTTGGCCCTTAAGCCAAAGACCATTCTACTACGCCCTACAAATGCCACAAATCCTGACTACGTACGTCACAGCAACTGTCTTAAGCAATAAATAAACCCCTAGAGCATGGCATGTCACAGCAGTGGATCGACCGCCCACACGTTAAGGGACTCAGAAGCAGCACATGTGCTCACAGCCAATTGCCTGATGGCTAAATGGTGCTAAAAGAGTTATCGGCATGCCAAGGTCAGAGTTGCTCAATGTAAGGCACTTGCAGGACACCAAAGCCCAAGAGCTCGGACCACAAGAACGGCAAGAGTGGATTCCATGGCTGACCGAGCAGTAGCATCAAGGGAGGGAACCGGTATTTTTAGCCTCTGCCTGCATATGAACGTCGTGACATCTTTAGGTCTGTGTGTACGTGTACATTTGCACTTCAATTTAGTTGCACTCAATAGCCAATGGCTTGACCGATATTGGGATATAATGCTAATTGCAAGCATCAGTATACCATATATGTCACAGTAAGGCAATGTGAAACACATAGATTGACTTCTCGACCTGACCACATTCATAAAAAATAGAGCCGATAAGTGGCATGAGGAAGGAGGCATGATAAATTGGTCCGATTGCACTGCTTTTGTATATAAAATAACTGTATGTTAACGATATTTATACCAAAGAGTATATTCTATACTTGACCACTTTAGGGTGTACGTGTTATCATTGACCACTGAGCAATACTACCTTAATCATAAGTTTGACCCTTGGGTATGCATAGTTTTTATGTTTTCATACTGGTAACCTTTGAGGTATAATGATTGTTGATGGGTTCGTCTATTATTCAAAATTATCCATAACTTAACAAAATGCTTGAGGTCCACAAATTACTACATATAGACGTTAATTCAGAACAGAGTGAATTAGCATCCTTTTGATTTAGAGTGAAAAATCAAGGAATTACTGAAATGGATTAAATTTTTAACTAGGTATTCTAAAACTGACATTGTAAAAATGTGATGATTTTACACCAACTTAACAATGGGAAAAGGCCATTGCAGTACCAATGTTTAAACCAATGACGAAAATATCATGGCCCAAGGCCATGTGTTTGAATGTCGATTCCATTGGGCCACCCATCTATTCTGCACAGCCTGGACGTCCCCCCACCCCCAATCCTCTGACAATTCCACATCGATTACAGGAATGGAATCGCGATTCCAGGATAGGAATCGCGATTCCAGGATAGGAATCATGAAAATTGCCCAACTCGTGTGGAAGGTAAAGCCCTCATTATTACATTATTTAGCCCCCAGTGTGCCAAGGAAATGCAGTTATTGTTCACATCGGCATTTGGGGAGATTGTTTATAAGGTTTGTATTACATGTAAAAGTCCCCTTTTCAAAAGTACAGTTTCAGCAAAAAACGATTCTCAGGATTTATTTTATGAATAATTAAGATATTCTCAGGCGTTATTCTTGAGGATGCAGGTGAGAGTAGCCAAAATATATAACATCCACATTTAAGTATTGTATTCTTTAACAGACACCAGCTGGCTGGTATATTTTTAATGACTGAGCAAAACAATCCATATACCACACAAGGCCAACAAATAAACATGCACTCGGTTTAATGACTCAGATTACATGGCAACTGCTTATTATTTAGTCTCTTCACAGGGAAGCTTTTCCATCAGGATCAGTTCAATAATTACGCTTATGAGAATGAAAGAGATCAACTCTGGGGACACAGTGGTTTTGTTCAGTGTCATATTTCTTGATCAAAGCATTTTGACCAAATGTCAAACTCGTTTCCTTCCTGGTGTTATTCCAGCATCCCCATATTGTTCACAAAACTGCTGATCATGACCAGTAACGACGTGTTAACTCACGCACCATGCTATGTATAGCAAATGGGCACAAACTATTGCATACATGATAAATGGCTTGTATTAAATGTTTTATTCAGAAACGTGAGTAAATGAATTACACATTGTAAAATGTCCAACTTCACAATTCACAAATACCAGACCTTTTATACTGAACCTTGTTAACTTTCTAGCTTTCAATGTTCGACAATCAACAATTACAGTGCATATTATTTAATGAAGAATGTTAACATTTAAAAATTGTACATTTAATACAGTATAAAAGCAATCCCTTACATATCAGCAAAATGCCCATTCTGTGTTGATTACACATTTCATGTGTTTACAATGTTATCGCATCTAAATGTATATACAATACCGTATACCAAGTCAACTATGGCCCTGTATAGCTTTGAACACAACATTGAATCAGCACTTTGAAGTGCACAACATACACTTTAATTTATACAATGACAGGATGTTCAAAGCCTCTTTTTACCAACTTAGTAAAATAATAAAAGGCAAATTATGCAGGAAAGCAGGAACTATAGTTCTAACAATCCTGAGAATGTTGTAGTTTTTGTTTTATTCAAAACCTTTTTAAAAGATATGTTTTGGTAGTTTCAAATTGATTTTTATTCCAACCACCCACATTGACCCAAAACACCACAAATCACTTCAATGTGTGCTCTTGGGACTATCCGAACAAACACAATACACTATTAAAATGAACCTTAATATTATAATAATAATAATAAAACGACTCTTATTATAATCACCACTTCAGGTTAATCCTCACTTAAGTAAGTGTAATATCCGTTTCAGCTTGCAACATGCCAAAAATGTATTAGCACATCACATGTAAAGAGGCATTCCAGTGGCCCACGCTTGAATTAATCATAAGCTCAGTTGATTCGGACCACTCTTGGATGAAGAGAACATAATAATGGTTCATATATCCATGTAATAAGCTAAGTGGATACTGCCTTCGGGCAAATGAAGGGCAATTGCCTCAATGAAGGGTTGTTGCTCAGAAAAAATGGAAAAGAATCTCAAGCCATTACAAGTCTTGCAATGATTTTTGTTATGAAATCTGCAAGCGAAAATGGTATATCTTTATATATATAGATATTGTATGCAGTCTTGCATTGACCCGATATACTCTAGATTCCAACACAGTGTTAATCATAGAAGTAAACAAATGTGAAACACTTCCATTAATAAATTGTGGATAATATAATTATTGAAATTTGGCAATGACAGTGTCACAATGGGCATTTGTTGTAAACAACGTCATGGATAATCTCCCCCCAAAACTGCACAAGTAATGCTGATACACCCACATTGCATTACAGTATTTTATCAGGGTGGAGTTTTTAGTCAAACCCAAAAAACAAACAATGGTGCAATTATTACAAAAACAAATTAGCAATGTGCATGTTTTTTTACCCCCCCCCCCCCCCCCCCAACGTATAGTTTCTTGTGCAATGAATAAAAGAAATGCAGTCATACCGCGGAGCGAGCTGGATTTGTTATTTCGCCGCACAAGGCCAACCAACAAATAAATGAATAAAGACATGTAAATAGATAATCTATGAGTAGTTTTTTTATTTATTGAAAGCATATAGTAAACACTCAGGTAACCATACTCTTTGGTTCTTTCGGTAAAGTCACGTAGGTAGAAAATAATAGATCACGACGTTTCGATTGCAACACAAGCAACCGTCATCAGGTGAGACTAACGCAGCAGGGGAAATGCTGACGAAGGAGGATAGAGAAGGGGTGGGGCATAGATAAGAAATGGGCTGCGCGTGCGACAAGGGGGAGATCGGCGGCAGGGGGATCTCCACCTTGTCGCACGTGCAGCCCCCCCCCCCTTTCTTATCTATGCCCCACCCCCCCTCTATCCTCCTGCCTCCGATCTCCCCCTTGTCTCACGCGCAGCAGAAATGGGTACGCCCATTTCTACCCTTTAGAACAGGGGTGGGGAACCTTTTTTTCTACCAAGGGCCATTTGGATATTCATAACATCATTCGCGGGCCATACAAAATCATCAATATCAAAATTAGCCTGTGATATTTTGTCAAACATTTAATTAACTCACCCCTAATGTGATGGCTGGAACTGCTTCTCTTTGGTGAGGCATGTGATGATGTTAGCTGGTATTGATGATGTTGCTACTCGCAACTGCTTTTCCAGGTTTGCTCCTAGATTTGTTGAATTTCGAGTCCCGCCTGCGGTTGCCTTGGCAGGGCCACACCAAATGATTTCGCGGGGCCTCATACGGCTCGCGGGC